TTGCAGTTGCATTTTGAACAATGGGCTGCAAGGTTGCCAGGTGCTTGTAGTTGTTCGCATGCATGGTTGTGCTCCCTTAGTCTTTCGTTAAGGCATCTCCCAGTCTGCCCGACGTAGGATCTTCCACACGACAGTGGTATTTTGTATACCACACCATCGACACATTCGACAAATTTGCTCATGTGTTTTACTTGACACAGCGCCTTGCCGTTTGTCTCGTCCACTTCATTGTTGACCTTCCTGCATAGTCCCTTGAGCCTGAAAGGGACGGATAGTGACACTCTGACTTCGTACCTTGCGGCGATATTTTTTATCCTGTGTGAAAAATTGTGTATATATGGACAAAAGACCTGTGGTCTTTTGTCCAAGATCTTCTCCTTTGTTTTGCACTTTCCTGTGAGTGTGGAAATACATTTTTCTGCTACAGCTACCAGTATGGGTTCAGGATAATCGCTGGCGTGTAGTCTGCTTGTCTGCCTCTCTAAACTTTCTGAGACTTCGTGGTGACACGATTTTTGAATTGCTCGCCACATGCATCCTGAGGCAACACTCCTTTTTACTAACTTTGTGTGTCCAGAGTCATACGGCAGAATTCGTTTTTTTCCTCTAGTTTTGTACATCCAGCATGTGTGTCTGTCCTCAAAAGTCATGTGGATGTCCAAGAACTGAAGGCTGCCTTTCTCAGGTAACTCAGAAGTAAATTCCAGTCCTCTATGCGCTTCTCGAAACTTCTCCGTAATCTTTGAGCGTGCCTTGTCTGTTAGTTTGTGTATTGAAAAACACACCAAAAAATCGTCAACACATCTAAAGCACTTGCTGACTCCATTTTCCTCGAAAAATCCCTGTAGCTCTCTATTTCCTTTTGCCATGTACAGGTCACATAGGGCTGGCGCTATGCACGACCCTATACATATGCCCTCTTTTTGAGTGAAAACCTTCTCTTCGAACATGACGTTTAGAGAACCTAAATATGTTCTTAAGAGACTCAGGAATTCCGTAGTGCTGATTCCGCACTGGTTTTGAAACCTCACAGATCCGTATGCGTCGATGCCCTCTTCCACCGCCTCGATTGCTCTTTCCTGTGGAATGTTGTAATACACATCTTTTAAGTCCACCGAAAAGGCTGTGATGGGTTGTGTTGTTTTTAAAAATTCAACCACTTCATCGGAATTGCGGACCAGGAACGGATCGTCTACTTGGAGAAGCGATAATTGTTTCTGTATCTCTTTTGCTATAACGTGTTGCCAGGTTCCTTTGTCCTCTACTATAACCCGGAATGGGCTGCCTTCCTTATGTGTCTTTACCGTAAAGAAAGGATTCAGGTAGAGATTCCTGCTGCCATTTACCTCCTTAGCAATCTTAATGAGACCATTAGTTTCACAGAGCCGAGCCACTTGTGCTCTTGCGTTTTTTTATGCTTCTCTCGGTGATTTCTTTTCTTGTCTCGAAGTTTTTTATTATGGCTTCCCTAGATTTCTTCTCATACATCTCTTGTTCTAAAATGACGAATTCTCCAGTCTTGACAGCCATGAGTAGGCGGCAGTTGTTATTTCTGAGCCATAGTAACGTGTCATTAGTGTTTACTCCTCTGTGTCTCGGTTTTCGTAGATTGTTGGATACCTCTTTAATACCCTCAATGATGCATGCTTCTCGTTCTCCCTCTGGATGGACCGACATGACGATTCCAGACAAGGTGTCCAAGATTTTGAGGAAGGGTCCGAAATACGCGGTGCAACCGAGGGCCAAAAGAGTGGACTTGATCGGCATGGCACGCGATGTCGCAAGAAAGGCTCCAGAGGGAGAACGAGAAGCATGCATCATTGAGGGTATTAAAGAAGTATCCAACAATCTACGAAAACCGAGACACAGAGGAGTAAACACTAATGACACGTTACTATGGCTCAGAAATAACAACTCCCGCCTACTCATGGCTGACAAGACTGGAGAATTCGTCATTTTAGAACACGAGATGTATGAGAAGAAATCTAGGGAAGCCATAATAAAAAACTTTGAGACAAGAAAAGATATCACCGACAGAAGCATAAAAAACGCAAGAGCACAAGTGGCTTGGCTCTGTGAAACTAATGGTCTCATTAAGATTGCTAAGGAGGTAAAAGGCAGCAGGAATCTCTACCTGAATCCTTTCTTTACGGTAAAGAGAGAGAGAGAGAGAACATGTTTATTCTGTGTGATAGGGTTCCCGTCTATGAGTGGTGTGCTCTGAGACGAGGAGACACATAAGGAAGGCAGCCCCTTCCGGGTTATAGTAGAGGACAAAGGAACCTGGCAACACGTTATAGCAAAAGAGATACAGAAATAATTATCGCTTCTCCAAGTAGACGATCCGTTCCTGGTCCGCAATTCCGATGAAGTGGTTGAATTTTTAAAAACAACACAACCCATCACAGCCTTTTCGGTGGACGTAAAAGATATGTATTACAACATTCCACAGGAAAGAGCAATCGAGGCGGTGGAAGAGGGCATCGACGCATACGGATCTGTGAGGTTTCAAAAACAGTGCGGAATCAGCACTAGGGAATTCCTGAGTCTCTTAAGAACATATTTAGGTTCTCTATATGTCATGTTCGAAGAGAAGGTTTACACTCAGAAAGAGGGCATATGTATAGGGTCGTGCATAGCGCCAGCCCTATGTGACCTGTACATGGCAAAAGGAAATAGAGAGCTACAGGGATTTTTCGAGGAAAATGAAGTCAGGAAGTGCTTTAGATATGTTGACGATTTTTTGGTGTGTTTTCCAATACACAAACTAACAGACAAGGCACGCTCAAAGATTACGGAGAAGTTTCGAGAAGCGCATAGAGGACTGGAATTTACTTCTGAGTTACCTGAGAAAGGCAGCCTTCAGTTCTTGGACATCCACATGACTTTTGAAGACAGACACACATGCTGGATGTACAAAACTAGAGGAGAAAAAACGAATTCTGCCGTATGACTCTGGACACACAAAGTTAGTAAAAAGGAGTGTTGCCTCAGGATGCATGTGGCGAGCAATTCAAAAATCGTGTCACCACGAAGTCTCAGAAAGTTTAGAGAGGCAGACAAGCAGACTACACGCAAGCGATTATCCTGAACCCATACTGGTAGCTGTAGCAGAAAAATGTATTTCCACACTCACAGGAAAGTGCAAAACAAAGGAGAAGATCTTGGACAAAAGACCACAGGTGGTACTGCCATACATACAGAATTTTTCACACAGGATAAAAAATATCGCCGCAAGGTACGAAGTCAGAGTGTCACTATCCGTCCCTTTCAGGCTCAAGGGACTATGCAGGAAGGTCAACAATGAAGTGGACGAGACAAACGGCAAGGCGCTGTGTCAAGTAAAACACAGGAGCAAATTTGTCGAATGTGTCGATGGTGTGGTATACAAAATACCACTGTCGTGTGGAAGATCCTGCGTCGGGCAGACTGGGAGATGCCTTAACGAGAGACTAAGGGAGCACAACCATGCATGCGAACAACTACAAACACCTGGCAACCTTGCAGCCCATTGTTCAAAATGGAACTGCAAAGCTCTCCTTGACACTACTTCCATCTTGGCCAGATCAAAGGACAGAACTAAGCGTGAAATAATCGAGGCCTTTCACATGGCCTCGGGTAGACACGGAGCGTGCGTCAGTGAGCCATCAATAGCTTTGCGACAAGAATAAATAGATCTACTCAATAAGATACCAAACATGTCGGAGCAAACATCAGGCCCCAGGTAAACGCTACGAAAACACACCATCCAGTTCATATATCAAAGAGGCAGCTACGGCAAACACCATCAAGTTCAGAAGCCAACAAATTCAAGACATCAACCATTCGTTTTCTCAGCCGCAATATCGGAAATACGGGTCGGGGGGGGAGAAAAAAGAGAAAGAAATTAAACAGTTGTTAGTCTGCGCCAATTCATGCATGTTTTGTATGTCCTTCTGCTTTAACTTCATTTTCTCCAGTGTTTTTTTCCGCGTAACTACGCAGCGCAGCACACCATCAATCGAGGACTGCTTCTTCTTTTTCCTCTTCCACCAGCCATTCGTCATTTAGCGCGCAACATTATAAATCACATCAAATAGTCAAATCGAATAGCACGTTTACCAAATATTTTCTACATAAAATCGGCATCATGGACAGCCCTATTTTTACTACATGTGACGAAGAGGAAACTGTTGAACACGTTGTTCTGTGTTGCGAGATTTATGAAATACAGCGACATTGAATCGCTCCAAGAACTATCCAAATTTGGCATTACGGCACCGAAAATAGATGACATATTATAATTTATACCCGACTGGAACTACACGCCGGCGTCGTGCACTTTAGCAACTGCTACTTCCTGAGCGCCACCGGCCTGTCAGAGAGGCTGTGACAGAGGACATCAAGCCAGAAAAGACAATCTTCGCCTTTGTTGGAGCAAGACGTGCCCATCTATGTGTGTGTGTGTGTGTGTGTGTGTGTGTGTGTGTGAGTGTGCGTGTGGGCGTGTACATATGTGTGTGAACAAGTGACCGCGTGCCAGTGATTCACAACATCATTCATAGTCACTCTTACTCCCTTCCTTACAAAATGGAATCAGCGCGCAAACTACGAAGACACAAGGAAGAGAAATTGACAGGACAAGCGCTGGCGCTGCCACTTTGATTTACTCCCTTCCCCCTCGCTCCCCTTAATTTTCTTGTGAGAAGTAGTCCTGCATCCCAGGCAAGAACAACCCCCCCTTTTTTTTTTGCTTGTACGATAACCCCCCCCCCCCCCCAATCAAATTAAAACACACCAACACATTAAAACACACCAGCACAGGGTATAAGTCATCTCGTCTTCTTGCTTTCTTCTTTCTTCGATCTTCAATCTCGATCTTCAATTCTCTGGTCAACCCATGTCCAAAAAAACTATCTCACTGTCCACTAGGTTAGCGGATGGTTGGCTCACGCACCGGGGTTTTCGTTTTGCTATATAGTAAGCTTTTACTAACTCCCTCGAAAACGTTTGCCGTAACGCGGAGATGTATAGCATCAAGTTATGTATACGTGAGCCGCTCTCGCGGGATTAGCACCGTCCCACGGGGCATACCCCCAACATTCATCTTAAAAAAAAAGAAGGAAGAGCACACACACGCACAGTTCCACCGAAGGCGACGCGTGCGCCGAGCCTCAAGAAAAGTTTTCGTCGTCGTCGGCGTCCTTGATGATACCGATGCGCTTGCCGCAGTTCCGCACTTTGTAGATGACCTCCTCCTGCATGAGGTTGAAGCACATGGCGATCAAGGCCATGCCGACAAGCAGGTAGAGCGAGCAGATGACCAGCTTCTCCTGGGACCCGCTGTCCGAGACCACGGTGTCCCCTGGCACCAGGTCTCCGAAGCCAATGGTGCTGAGCGTGACGAAGCAGAAGTAGGAGCCGTCGAGGAACTCCCAGCCTTCCCAGAGGCTGAAGATGACAGCTCCGCCCGAGATGTAACCGATCATGATGACGAAGCAGAGGGTGATTGGCACCGAAACGCGGGGCTTGGCGCCGCCCTCGTACACGTCGTCGTCGGCGAGGCTCTCCACGCGCACGGGGTCGTCCCGGAGCTTGCCGTCCTGCAGGTCCACCGAGTTGTGGCCGACGATGTGGTGGACGCGGTAGTTTTCGACGGCCGCGTTGCGCTGTAGGTGGTTGTGCAGTGGCAGCGGCTGCCGGCGGCGGCGCTGCGGGTGCTGGGCCGGCCTGCAGGTGCACAGCTTGCCGTACACGTAGCGGAAGGCCTTGGCCAGGATGTCGCCGATGTTGGTCAGGTAGAGCAGCATAAGCGGGATGCCCACGATGGCGTACAGGATGGTCACCATCTTGCCCCAGTTGGTCCGTGGTGCGATGTTGCCGTAACCTGCGCAGAACAGGCGTTGGGGATTGAGGATGGTTTCCTCCGAGGTTTGGTGCACG